AATGCCCTGATAATGTTCACACAGTTACTCATACCAGCACAACAACCATCTGACCTGTTAAAGCAGCGTTAATGGCCTTTGCTCAAGGGCACCACAGTGCTCTTGATAAGGAAGGCAAGGAAAAGCATAAGAGAGCACAGAGTGCAAGTTTTGTTTCCTGTGTGTTCAGGAGTTGCACTGTTATAGTGTTTAAGAGAAATTACAGATTAGACATGCTTAAGCAATGAATGGCACAACATTCTGTGCCGGTACTCAAACTAAACACGAAGGCACAGACTTGACCCAGTTCTCCAAGTTATTATCGGGAAGCAATAATAACATCAATCATTAACTAGAATGGCTTCGTGTCATATCCTTCATATGAGTGGCTTCCGATTACCTTCCAACTTCAAGCACTTCTTTACGACAGTCATCAAGGGTACTTTTTAAGACATATGATTCTGTGGTAGGAATTCCTCTAAGCACTCAATCGAAACAACTGCCTCTCCACTAAAACACACCAGACAAGGTACTTTCACTTCAACCCTGGGAGAGATTTTTGAGGGCTTTAGGACTTGTGGACTGTCTCCCCGATATTGCAGGAGCTCGAGCGTGAAATAAAAGTAAATGGGCAGACCAAAGAAGGCGACATATATCTTCGTTTCTGTGAAGGCAAGGGGACAGACCGCGGACCGAAGCAAGTAATGCACACACAACACGACAGGGCCCCTGATACAGAAAATACTGTAGTCCAGCACTTTTCGCCTCTAAATCATTAAGTCCTACAGCAGACCAGCCTTCTACCCCTTTATATTCTGAATCCTGCTTTACACATTACACACCCATTACATTTTAATATGTAGAATGCAAGCAATTTTGTTTCAACTTGTTCAGTATCTGACCTGTTGTAAATAGGTTTACTATTATTTGTTACATTTTAAAAGCTGCATAATAAAAGTCAGCTCAGTAGCCTTTTAATATTCTTCCCTTTCAGACTACAGTCAGACTGTGACTGCTAACCATTATAGCCATTTTTAGTGTGTGTTCTATGTAGGATTTTTATTTATTTATGCCATTTGTTTGGTATAATTTGAAAAAGATTCAACATGTGGATTTTAATCAAAAAGAGCTATATGTATTAATTTTTATTTAATTATATCATTTCAGGGATCAACTCTGAGATGCTCAGGAAATGGTGAAATTACAAGCTAGTGCTATATCTGATGATGTCTTTTTACAAAGGCTATTAATTTATTTTTGGAAAGTCCTAAATAATTTGTTACTAATATCATCTGCTTGTTACAGAAAATAAATCCATGATTCACAATCTGCATGCTACTTTAGTGCAATTACCAATTAATTGCAAGTGAGATTAACTCCTTGACAACTGATTTTAGCTTTAATACACAACACTTGTAATTTTATAATGTTGTTGCTGCTGTCTAAGTCAATCTGTAAATCAGTTGATAGGAAGGAAACCGTTCCTGGCTGTAGACAACTGTTCCCGCAGTGTGCCTGAGGTGTAGGGCTCGGTGTGGCCAGGCTTGTGGCTGGTGGCAGGTGTTCCACAGCCCTCTGACCTCAATTCCATTTGTCCTCATGCCAAAAGAATGAATGGCAGTGAAGGGGAATGATATTTAGCCTGGGATAACCGCGCTCATGCGCAAACATACACATACACCCTTAAAGCACTTAATAAGGGAAACAGCTGTTAACTTTTCTAGAACCTTCTCCAGTCTATAACACTGACCCCTGTAATGTCAATGTCCATCACCTTAAGAGACCCTGGATGATCAACCTGACACAGACAGCAGTCTCTCTCAGCCATCTTTAATATGCTCATGGTTGAGAGACAAGAATAAAACAGCCAAAGAGCAGAGCAGCAACCTACGGAAGCCAGAAATAGAAATGGCCAAGGACAAGACGAAACGGTTCTGCTTCTGCTGCATGGGACAGCAGTTTCAGGCCTGCCTCTGCTCACAACACACAGTGACGGACCAGCGTACCAGTAAAAAGAGACAACAAATGCGCTTCAAGGGCTGTTAGTTAAAACGAATAATAAAAGTCAACATAAGACAGATGCTTTCAGGGCCTCAAAGGTAGTGCAATGTCAGTTTGAGGCCATACTATAGGCCTGCTCCAAACTTCAATCAACATCAAACTAAAGTGAGACACCTAAGTAAACCTTATCACCAGATCAAATCGTGATCACCAAGGTTGTGGGAAAAAAAACAACTTGTTTTAGTTTTAATGGCTTTAAACTACTTTTTAATTTTAGTGGAATCTGTGGAAGAAAAATCCAGCTGATTGGTTCAATTTAGACATACAACTGTTGTGAAATTCTATTCAGAAGGAGCATTTTTTTGAGAAGGTATCACACAAGAACGCAGTAGTGGATTACATAACATGTTTGAGAGATGCCGAGAAGGTGATTATTCTTTGAGCTACTGTATATGTTTTTCTTAAAACCCATCTGAATATAGAATAATAATCCATGAGCATACTCTTTGCAACAAATACAACGGTTTGTGAAATAAGCATGCATTCTGAAGCACCATACTTTTAGCAACTCCTGATGAATCAGTAGGATCCTCTGCCAGTTAAATCAGCATTTTTGCTTATGTCAATAACTGGACCTAGTCTGTTCTCTTAGTTTAGTCCTGCAGGTGGGGAGCCCTATTCTTTCATCCCAGCGGAGGATGATTAAGTAAGAGATTAGTGCTTTTGCTGTCTAGTAGTTCTAGTTTTGACAATATGTTGATGTGTGATACGTCTCACAAATACAATAATGCCATGAAATGTCCTTTTTTGTTGTTGTATTACAGCTGTTTCAGTTGTGCTGAGCTGAACACTCAGAGCCAAAGAACATATTACTGAGATATTCAATACTTAATCAAGACAAGTACTAAAAATACTTGTAGCATGCTTACCACAAATGCCTAACACAATTTGTTTGCTGCCTATTCATAATTAGGGTTGAGAATCTCTAGGTACCTCCAGTCTGGTTTTGATTTAGGATGCTTAGGTTCTCAGTGCAGCTCACTTTAAGATTTCGATACTTTCATTACTGTGAGATCACAACCACTGGATTCCTATTAAGCAGTTTTGTGCATCAATGCTGAATCATTCAAGAAAAAAATGAAAATAAAAATTAATTATTTTTCCCACATTACTCATGGTTTATGAATTCATGTATGAATAGCAAGAATATATATGACTTTTAAGGGAAGATTTTAGGATCCAGAATATCTGTATCTACTGCAAAAGCTTTACTGAAAGTATTCAAATGACATTTATTGTGATCCTGAGGATACTTTTTCCACAGATTTCACTGTCCTGGTCATTCACAAACATCAAACAGATGTAACATCTACTGGAAGTTACGTGTCTCATACCTGGGGTTTCCTCGCAGGGCAGCATGATGCAAGGCATTAAACCCGTTATTGTTGGTGATGGTGACATCCGCACCGGCCTCCAGTAGTACTGACAGCATGTCGTCTCTCTTCTTGCTGATGGCATCGTGCAAGGGTGTGTCCCCCTCCGAATCCTGAAAAGAAAAAGTTGTGTTACTTACTACTCTCTTAATTCCCTTTCTTTTTTACCTTTCTGAAATCTGACAACCTATGTCACAAAGCATTTCTCAGCAGACAAGGAAAATGTAGTGATAGCTACCTGGAGACTGGGGTGGCAGCCAAAGTCCAGCAGGGTTTTGACCACCTGCAAGTGGCCTTTGTTAACAGCTATGTGTAAAGGAGTCTGCCTTCGTTTGTTCCTGGCGTTCAGGTCAGCACCGCCCCTCTGCAGCACTTCAATGACAGAACCCTCATCACCAAAGGCCGCATGATGTACCGCACGGTCTCCATCTTTGTCCTGTGTACAGTGACACACCCTCAGTGTTGGGTCTGCAACTGGATTTTCACCCTTTGCCATGCTGTGTGAGATACACTAAAACAGAGATGAAGGAAGGAAGAATATGGATGACAGAGGGACATTTTTAAAAATATACCAACCTCAGCCTCCAGATCTACGTTGTGTTTAAGCAGCAGTTTTAAGACGTCCACGTGACCATTCTGACTGGCTGCCTGCATAGCGGTGTGTCCAGCACACTGCCCATTCACCTGCAAACACAACACAAGAGTGAGAATATGGGTGCATGTCAATGTCATGCTTAGATCTGCATATAGTGAATTAGCTGTTCACCACCTGCTAAAAGCTAAAAACTGGTGAGGGCGTGTTTAAGCATTTGTATGTGTGGATGTACGTTCACGGTTGTGTATGCATGTTTCATCACCAAGTGCAGCACTGCAAAAACTCAGAGCATAAATATTAATGTGGACTCTTTTGGGAGTCTCTAGACATCTCTTGTCCTGGCAGGCGGATCACTTGGCCAAGCTCAGTGTACTCAGCTTTAAGCAAATAATTTCACTGAAAGGCAGTAGGGCAACTGGCCAGACTTCCCCACTGACACACGAACACACACATCCACACACCATCTCATTCACTTTCTTTTGTTCTCTGAGTGAAGACACTGTTGCCGACTTGACGTAACCAGTTCCTGTAACCTATACATGGCACAGACATCCGTGTGGGGTGTTTTCCCTGGCCTGTAGCTGGTGTCAGAACACAATTTGCAACCATATGGGTTTGTAGATCTCCACTTGAGTCTGAGAATGAATCAGGCCTGTGCTGCAGTGCATACTAGTGCTCCTCGGTGCCTCCTCTGGGTTCAGCCTTAATACTTTTCAGATCAAGAGAGATGCAGGGGTGGGAAGATCTCAGAGCCCTTTCCTCAGAGACTCTCTGCTTCCTCAATATACCAAGACCAGAGGTATTCCATTGCCAACTATTAATGTTCTCAGATCTTTGTCAGTTGTTTCATGGCAAAATGCTTTGGTGTTAACTCATATAGAAACCCAGCAAAGGCTTCAAACCGTTGGAGAACTTACATCTACATCAGGCCTTTTAAGAATGTCCTCCACTTTAGCCAGGTCTCCATTAGCTGCTGCCTTGACCAGCTCCTCATTGATGTCACCAGACTCTTGTGTCTCAAATAGTTTCTTCAGCAGCTGAGACAGGCGCTCTGATCAAACAAGGGGGGAAACATCAGAAAGTGATTGTGTGTCGGTGTTAGAAAACAGAAAGCAGTGGCGGGGGACGACGACTAAGATGACACTCTCTCCATCGGTAGTGCCTGTTCCGGCAACACATACCTCCAGAGGCGTTGCTAACAGCAGAGCCAGAGGGGGCAATCTTGGTGACAGCAGCAGGATTGTACGTCCAAGAAGTTCCACAGACCTCGACCTTCAGGTCACTGTCAGAGTAGATCTGCTGCACACGGCCAACCTTTCCTAAGGTCTGTTGATAAATGTTGCAACAAACTCGTTAGTATATGGAGGGTTGTTCTCTTTCAGCTGTGTGCTGCACAACAGAGTCTGTAAATGGCAAATGAAAAATGGATCATGAGAAAGAACAAAAACGCTGAGATGGGAGCAAAGGATAAAGTGGAGAAAAAACAAGCTCAACAAAGCAAATGGTCTACACGAAGCAGAACCCATGCTCATTGCAAAAAATAAAACCTGACAGAAAAACAAAATATTACAGATTAAAGCCTTGCTCTCATTATTCAGAGGGCATTCACTTGCACGAGAAAGAAGACGGATATAAAAGAAAGAGACCCTTTTACTTGCTAGACTATTCCTCATCTCTAAAGGCAATACAGAGAAGACAGCAAAATGCTTTCCAATTTTGAATCATATCATCACGATCCTGGCTATATGAGAAAGAGTCTGTTGAACTGAGTCTGGGGCTGTCCTGGTGGATGCCATCAATAACAGGAACTGCTGCAGTAGAAGCAGTAGCGGCGGCACACAGCCGTGGTTAGTGATCAAAGCTACAACCTGTCTCAGGGTTTTAAGGCTCATTAGCTGCTGAGGGGGCCCGGTTTGATAAGGACAATTGGCATATTGGAGTAGACTGGCATTACATAACCTAAGGCGGATCACAATGAATAACCTTCATAATAAGGCAAGAATTAAGTCTTGTTGAGACAGAAAAGAGAGAAATTAAAAAACAAAAATCAACAGCAAAACAGGCAATTTGGGGGAACTGTGTCTCTGCATATTAATTATATTGCGACATGCAAAAAAGATGAGGGTCTGGCCCTGTCAAGTGTGAGGGGAACAGAAGAAAATTACACAGGCAATTAGACAATTTATAGACTGATCTTGCTTACAAATTATGTGAGTGTGATGAAGTCAAAATTCTTTAAAGGAACACGAAAATGTCTGGTGCCAATAACAGCTCAGTGTTTCTTTTTTTTTTTCAGGCTTTCAGATACAAAACATAACACAGACTTGTGTTATGCTGAAATTAATTTGATGTTGCAGTACCTGGATAAATAAAATAAATCTAAACACACTGATTCTAAAATCATTCTACATACTGTGTTTTTTTTAAATATATCATAAAACCATCAAGAACGCCTCTGAACTTGATCTCGAGTTTTTGTAAGCATTAAATAAATAAATAAATAATAACTGTGGTTACATTTCCATAAAATCGGCATGCACATGTTTCTTACAGGCAGCATGGCCTCAGCCCACTCTCCATGGCCTCTCTGTAGCAGCTTGATGCGGTCAATGTCATAGCAAATCTGAACCAGGTCTCCCACTAAGAACTGGGAACTGCCTCCCTCCGCCCCAGCTGCAACTTCGCCACTGCGCACTACATTGGCCTTTGTCAGCACTGCTGGGTTGAATGTCCATCTGGGAAGATAGAAATTAATGCATGAAAGCAACACAGATTAATTTTCTTACAATTCATAAAAAGGGGTGGCTGACCAAGTAGTGATTTTATGGGATGCATGAGGAGTTGCTAACTACTGTTACTTTAAAAAAAGAAAGTGCATCTGTGATAATATTTATGACTATTTTCAGATTATTTAAAATAATTATATATTTTATTACAAATTGATCACACATTTTCCAAGACCCATCTCTCTCAAATGTTACAAACCATCTCAAGGTAAAGATACGTAGATGGGAAATTATGTTGATAAAATGATGCAATTTCCGCTGGTTTCAATTACTAGGAGTTGATAAAACCAGTCGGTTTAGGGGCTCACCTGTTCCCACTGGGGTACTGAACGACAATGTCGTGGTCCTCATCGATGCCACATACTGTGCCTGTGGTGGTGAGGGTCTCAAACATGCCATCAGTCCACCCGCCGTGGCCATGTTGGAGGGACTGGACAATCTCTAGGTCAAGGTCTATGTTGACCAGATCTCCAATCTGTAGACCACCGGGATTTCTGTTGCCATTCTGCTCACCTGCGTGATGAAGGTAAAGTCTATTAGCAATAATATTATATTGGTACATTAAAAAGCGGATTAGGTTTGCACATTAAGATATTGAGTCTTCAAGTAATTTTAAAACATAAGCATAAAGACAAATGGGGGAAAACATTTTACAGAAATCAATTTTGCCGAATCTGTGACAAAAAATAGTAGTACTGCAAAACCCTTTAAATACATATGTGGTAGCAAAAGGTTGGAACAAAACACTGGTAAAGCATTACCACATGGACTACACATCACAACTGCTGCTATTTGTAAGTAGTGACAATCAACTGTAATGAAAGACTTTCACTACAGTGGTGAATCCAAGAGACAATTCATTCCTGGAATTCTTGGAATACTGTAACTGCATGACCTGAGGCTGTACCTAGTTTTGGGTGCCAGATATGATGTAGTGCTGCCACCTAGTGGCTGGATAGTCTTAACTACAATTGAAACTTCCCTAATGCCCTTGAATTCACTGCACCAGAATGATAGGTGAGAGAACTGGTGCAATAATGATGGTGGACACAGATCACTGGCTAACTTACCTAAAACGGGACAGTGGTCTCTGTAAAACGAGCCTCCTTTGGCATCTTGGACACATTTCAGATCCGACTGAGAAACAAAAGAGAATGAGTTAGATAATTACCCTGGGTAATTCCATTAAAAGAGGAGAATGATCAAGAGCGATGAACCTGAGAATGGACACACTTCAAGCTGCAGTGGCAGTGTAAAGCTCAGTACATCAACGATATCAGTGTTGTAAGGGTAAGGTAGGACAATGAAACACCACACTGCTATACAGAGAAATTGTCAGATCATTTGTGATGACTCAGATGTGCAGCCACTGTGGCAGAGATAGAGGGCAGAGATGACCGTGAGGCAGAGCAAGCATTCCCTTGAACTGATGAGCACTACAACTCAAGTCTCTCCTTTTGTATCCAGCTAGCGAGATGTGTTTGATCTTATGATGCTTTGTGCACAAAGCAGACATTACAAAAACAGGAAAGGTGTTGGCCCCTCATGTTGCATTAGGAACATACCCTAAGATGCAGCCCCTTTGTATTTGCCTGTAGGATTTGCCCACAGTTTTAATAAGACACAAAGCCAAAATAAAACAGTGAAGAATCCATCATTTATTTAATCCAGAGGCAGATGCTATGGACCTTCCTTTCAACCCATTAGGATAACAAAGGACAAATCTGTTATGCAACCAAGAACCCTGATTGGCCTCTTTCTTAAAAAGGCAAGGGCCGTCTCCACCAATGAGGAAGATGCTTTTCATGGGCGACGCGTGTGTAGCTGTACCCACAACAACCCCAAGAGAATTTCCCCTTCTTTAGGAGTTGACCTCCATGTTCACTCTCTTCCCCTAAAAGGCAGAAAGAACAGATTTCCTTTATCATGCAGATACCTGCCCCTTCCAGCTGCCTGTACAATAGTGCCTTACTCATACTGGCCGTGTGGCTCTCACAAAGGCCTGGCAGCCAAAGAAAGAGCCTCAGGCCCGCGGTCAAACACAAAAGCCACCTGACAGCTGACATCTTTTGCAACACTCTGTGTGTGTGTATGTGGGTTTGTGTGTGTAACTGACTAAGCGTGAGGGACTCCCACGTTTGCTCACCATTCCCTCAAAGCCAACTCTGTACAGGTTCTTGGCCCCATTGTCCCACAGTACATAGGCAGCACTGTGAGGGCTGGCTGCACTCCAGTCCTGGATCTCTGTCACCTGAAGGGGAAAAGGAGGAGGGATGAGCTAAAACACAGAAAAGGATGCACCAGGAGCAGAGCATTCTGAGTTTTAATCAGATTTTTTTTTTTGGCATACTGTATGTGAAAGTGAAATACAGAACAGGAGGTGATAGTTTCTCAGCGGAAGGTTTCAAGCAGATGCTTTTTGTCTTAAATCCTCATAATGATAACAGATACGATACTTTATTGTTCCTTGTAAAGAAGTTATTTTTTTCATAGGCCACCTTCAAAGGAGGGTCAGAGTGAAGGTTTAACTAAAGAACAGCAACCCTGGAGTCAAGTCGGCAATCACTATGTAGCTTAATGACACAGATATGTCCACTAATACAAAAGATGAACTTGGACTCCTCTAGTTGAAAGGTTCAACGCCAGCTTCTGGCTATGTACAGACCACTCTCAGGTTTTCTGTTTTATGTGCCAGTATGACTCATTTATGTACCATTGTCCAATCTGGTGACAGTGGAGTGCAAAAGTCATTGGCAAGTTGATGTAGTAAATCTATACAATGTAGTGTCAGATGCTCTATATGTTGCATTGTCACAGTTTTGACTTCAAGGGACGTTTAATTCCCTGATTACTGAGAAATATTAGGAGTGGGACTCATCAGGAACAAAGAGCTTTGATTCTTCAGGTCACAATTACATTTTATTATAATCCCTGCATTTTTACAGCCAATACTAAACCTTTTATTGCTGTGCTTTTTTTTGGTACTATTTAGGAATACTTTTGCACTCTCTAGATGCTTTAATTACAATATTTCACCTATTAGTGTTCTTATTTGCAAAAAAAACAAAAAAAAAAAAAAAACAAGACAAAGACAAGCATAAACACAGCTTATCAAAACAAGTAAACTTTTTACTTTCTATTCAAAAAATTTTCCTGATTAAGGTTTCAGAAGACTCTTCTTACCAACTTAAGAAACTCTGATGTAGTTGTTTTTCCATTAATAAGCAATTCATTAAATTCAGGAAGCTCTTAACAGCAATATCCATATATTTTCCATTTGTTTTAGGAGCAGCTGATTCCAAAATGTGGCTGTAGTTTGTTGTATGCTTAGATTAGTCTGCAAATTGAAGTGAGTGTTTATTCTGAACAAAGAATAACATTGAAGAGGTATCATATCAAATAATGTGCTTTACAAATCACTATTTTCAGTTTTAATTTAGATTTTACATAGCATCCCAACTTTTTCTGATTTGGGGTTGCATATCCAGAATATGTCGGCAGTCAGTATAAGTTTGTTTGCGAGTCCTGGGCTGCCATTATTTTTACAGAACACTTTAGAAAGTGCCTTACAAAACACTCTAATCACACAAACTCAAAGATGATTAAATAACATTTATCAACCTTCTTCCTACAAGGATGTGAAATCCTTTACATTTGAATTAAAAGAAAACCATGCCCCACTTGTTCATCTAAGGAAAGCTGCCCTCCTTATTCTTCTTAGTCTTTTCATGGTGGGGTGAACCATGAATGTATTAAACAATCCACGGTTCTAGCCCTGGTTCTGTTGTAATTCACAGCTTGTGCATAAAAAAAAAAATTTTAATCCAAGTGCAAGGCAGAAGGTTTGACTGCTTCACTCACTAGCCTAGCATAGAGCTGTTCAAAACCACCAAAAGCAACCCAATGAACACATTTGCCACAAGAATTTTACAAAGACTTTGCTTGAGTTATTAATTTTATAACATTATCACTAATGCTACAGTACACCTGACTTCTTTAATAAGCGCCTGCTCACAGGGTTAAACTAAAGCACTTTGAAGGGCACAGTAAACCAGAGAAATTATGTATTATTGGCATAAATAAGCAATGAGTTGTGAATGAGAGACTTCACAACTGGAAAGTAAGGTTTGGATTTTCCCATTAGACAATCTTCTCTCCATCACAAGCAGTGCACCACTTTAATAACAACAAGAATGTGTCAAGAGAAGAGCTGTAGTGTAGTAAATTAGTTCTTTAATTAAAAGCCGTGCCTTAAATAAATACAGAAATCTAACCATTAAAATATTTTCAGGCCCCTTCCAGAGGTAACTGATTAATGGGCCTTAGGAGGCAATATTCGTGCTAAACTAACGGAACATCTAAGCTGCAGGACATGTAAGACCGGTTTTCTGGAGAGCATACTGCTTACGGCATCATAAAAACGTAATGAGATATGCCATTAAATAACACAGTAAAATGAAGTCTTAAAATGCCTGAAGGGACAGTTAAATTGAATACTCTGGGGACTGGACCTGAGTCACCAAATGAGCACTTTACAGCACAGTTACAGTATAAATCCAAATAGAGTGGGCTAAACAAATGCAACCTCATCAAACATTGTATTACTTTCTAATGCAGCCTGGAATAACCTGCAGCAAAGACGTGTGTGTGTATGTGTGTGTGTGTGTGTGTGTGTAGTCTAAGATGCAAAGGAATCAGTGGAATGAGCATTTTTCTTTGACAAGTTCTACTGGTTCATTATTTATATACAAATTTATTAATTACATATGATAATTTTACAAAACACTGTCCACAATGTTTGCAATCCGTGTGTAGATAAAAAAAACAACAACCTGCATCAGGATCATTTGCAATTGCTGTTTCAGTTTAAAGCATGTCTTTTTCCACATTATGAAACTAATACTAAAACTTTTTACTCTGAAGTGTTTGATGGAGTGAACCACAACAAAAGAATCAACTTTAATACATTTTCAATAAAATCTGAACTTTAAAAAGTCTGCAACAATTATATAGTTATCTGGATCATTTCAGGACCATAAGAACACCAACTACAACATAATGCAGCACATCTAACTGTGCAATGTTTGCCTTTAAACGCCCATACCACACACAGACATGTTTTAAGGCAGTGCCCTTCCTGTTTTGGTTGAGACTCCTGCATGTTTCAAATCAAATCATATCCTGGGGTGCAGTTGTTTTTTTCCTCCCTAAAGATTGTTTAGAGGAAGAAATCCTTATTTTACACTTGTATACAGCCCTTGCATGGATTGTCATGTCCCCGTTAATAGGCACATATGTGGTGCTGACTTCTTCTATGCTTTACCTCCAAGGGTTTATAATCCACTTAATTGTACATATTTGAAATCAAGTTGAAACAAGTTTGACCTTATGTTTCAGTAGTATCTTTTGTAGCCATGTTCATAAAAAAAAAAAAATCTATCTGCACACTTACAGTTCACTTGTGAAATAGGATTTGTTGGAGACACAGTTTTTGCACCAAACATTATTTACTTAACACACCTGAATGACTTGTTTACTATAACCAACTCAGTCTTGGGAGTCCAAAAAAAAAGCAACAACAAAAAAACACAATTAGATTTCCTGACCCTACTTCCTAGCTGGTACCCTACCTTTCCTCTCCTCCCGTTGCCTCCATCCTGGTCTTCCCACTGCCAGTCCACTCCTCTCACCACTCGGCCGCCAGTGAAGATCCCTCTGGCCGTGATTTTCTTTGACTTGCGACGTGACTCCAGAAGTACTCTGCTCAGGTAAAACGTTTGAGCACAGAGGCAATTATTTTCACTTGGACTATGGTTTTATCACTCTTATGACAGAGTCACACAAAGCACTGAAAAGCAGGGGCTCAGTTTACATAGATTAATTCACAGTAGTTCAGTTACAAGTAAATATGTATTAGAGATGGGATGCCAGTGTCTGCTCGACAATACTTATTCAATTAAACAGTATTTAAAATTTGCTCTTATCTATGTCCCTCCTGCTACCTTGTGTTCTCAGTTGCCCTCCCTGTTCCTGCTCCAGTGCCTACAGTTCCTACTGTAAGTGTTGGGCCTTAACAGCATCTCATCTGTTGTATCAGCCATGCAGCCCCTGACAATCATACACCTGTGTAAGCACTCGGAAACTGATGTTTAAAGATAGCAAACCAAACAAAGCAAAAACATTCATCAGAGGTGTGAGCAATACATCGTTACTGACCTATCTTTGCAGTTCTTTACAAACACACGACCTGACCGCTGCCGGAGCATAGAGACGAGCTTTTCAAAGGTCAAATCAATTCTGAATTTATACTGCCATTAGAAATGCCACTTGTATTAAATTCAAGGAACACATTGTAACCGGGTGGCAGGTGTCATGTCAGTCAGATCCTTACTGACATTTCCTTGCCTCTTCATCAAAATCCAGTGCCTAAGTTGTGAAATGCTAATTTTTTTTGACAATGTCAAATCACTCTAATGCCATGAGCTGCAGTATTGTAACATAACTACAAGCTGAACCAATGAAGGTAGAAGAAATAAAACTTCCAGCTGAGCTCTAACCACCAAAAGTAATGACAGCCTTGATGCTAGACATAGCAGCTGGACAGTGTAGGTCTAACCAAAGCAAACAGCTTGTGGCCTCTGACCACTCCCTCTTCGGCAGTCAATGAAAGAACCTAATGTGGTGTAACAAAACCCTGCACCATACTTTTGGAGCAGTGTGAGCTGCATAGACCTATACCACCCATTGTGCATTATGCAATGTCTATCTTGGGGGAAATGAAGTCTTACTCAGTAGAAAAGGCTGCCAGCTGTTGGGCCATGTGTTCATTTACTAAACTTTGGTGTCTGGCTGAAATAGGCCTGAATTGGATAAAGCATCATCGTAGCATTGACAGCTTGTGAGATAACAATAAAGTCCAAGTTGTGGAATTTAATGAGTGTGCATGCTCACTAAATAGGTCCAAATAATACATTTAAAGTCTGTACATCATCTCTGAATGCACAAACTAATGTGGTCTTTAACAACCTGACTTGATCTGTACCCGCATACACTTTCCACACAGTACAGTAAAAAAGATTAGAGCCCACACACTGATTTAATGCACCACAAAATAATTTTATTCAGGCCAAGCTACCATGCCAGTGAGGTTTTGACATTAACTTTTCATCAGGTATTTACAGCTGATACTTTGACCTGACACAGACTTCTTCAAATTGATATCAGGTGTTGGTCATTTTTAAAAATGTTTTGACCTTCGTCTGAAATTTGATAATAGCTGGAAAACATCTGTTCTGTTTCGGTAATTTTTTTTTTAACCATTAGACCTATGAGTAGACATACATCACATGCACCTGCTCTCATATGGTTAACAAACAAAAGTCCTCATGTTCAATTAATGATATTATGCACCAGTAGGGGTGTGACAGGATCTCACAATATTAAAACGTGGCAATATTTATTGTTGGGGTGAAATGCTGCCTCACAATATCAGTAAATAACAGAACCAGAGCAGCAGCCAGCATGATGGAGCATGAAACTAGCAGAGAAGATGCTCCCAAAACTTTTTAAATGTTCAGTTTGTGGAAAGGAGTTCTGTTAGAAGGTCACATACAGCTTCAATTAGAAGTTAGAAGCTCATGCATAGTTCATGCACAGCTATAAGGTCTGAAAAGACTCATGTGAAATCATACAGGAGAGAAGCCAGTCAGTTGAGTTTGTGGTAAAACATTTTACAGTGCTTGCATATTGTTGTCTTTTCCTGCATATGATAATTCATACTCAGAAAGTAGAACTGAAGTGACATTTATTAGAAGATTAGTTAAAACATTTCAAAATGCATCTGCACTGTTTTCCATTTTGTGACTTTCAGTCAAATAAAAGGCTATTTTTCCAGTCACATATGAAAATTTCTTACAAAGTGTTAAAATATCGTCTCGTCTTGTGAGCTAAGAGTAACATCACACCCCTATGTACCAGTTCCCTTGTGATGATTACTACTTACCATAACTTAGTTTTAGGATTGCTAAACTGTAAAATCTGTTACACCAATTTCCAATGTCATAACTAAAATATCGGAAAAATGTATAATTCTATATTTAAATGAACTTCACTGTTATTACACCCCTATGTTCTATCAACAGGAAGCTGATCTGCAAAGTAATGTCTTGAAAAGTGTTCACTATCTCTGGTCATCATACACAATTACAATGTGTTGTGCAGATTCAAAGCTCTAAGTTCTGAAATCTGAAACTCTACTGTAAAACAGATTGTACAGTCAATCTGCACTTTACATGACAATGCAGATCTCTGAAGACCTGAGTATTAAAAAACTTTGGAAATCTGCACAAATAAATGGGAACTGTGTTAATATAAATTTTTTTTTCCAAAGGATCTTAAAACGAGGCTGACTTGTTGCCGGCGAGGCGAGAGAGAGAGAGAGATTCTGTCTACCTGAGAGGCAAGGTGCCCAAAGGTTTTTTTTTTCAAATGTCACACATACAGAAAGCAACAAAAAGCCAAGCTATAGGACTAAAAGTGTTGGTCAACCAATCACAGTGAAGTGCAGAAATTACCGGGTTACCTTATGTTTATTTTATTGCCGGTGTAAGTTAAGGCACATTAATGGCAAACATTGTCTGGTTAACTAACCTCTCACTGCCTGGGGTCGTGATCCTGTAGAACCGGTGTCTCAGGTGATGCTTGTCTCCATGGTAACAGGTTGTGCAGAGGTCGTAATTGGTGCATTCAGCACATTTCCAGCGAATACCAATGATGGGCTGTTGACGGCAGGTGTCACACATGGTTCCATCATGCTTGATGCCTGATGGGGGGGCAGTATTAGTTGCAGTTAATAAATTGGGCTTGCATTGTGTGTAATACTACGGGTAAAATGTTTCAGCATTTTACTGTTAACACAACCTACATGTATTAATGTAAGCACAATTTTGGCTTTACTGCCTCTAATCAGTGTTTCAAGATGCAGTTGATACTTCAGAATAACGGAAAGAACGACAGAAAACTTAACTGTGTCACATTAAATGCTTGAATGGAGATGTAACCAACGAGACAACTGAATGAGGCCTGTTACTACAGAAGTTAAACTGTATTGTTACATGTAATGTTATGACCAGTACAGAGATATAAAGCTAAAAGTTGGTGAGGATGTCCTTAAGCATATTACTTACGTAACATTTATGCTTAAACAATTTAAAACCTACTAACATTGTTTTATGTAATAAGTAAAAATGGCTTTCCTCTGAATGTGCATTTATGTTGATATATTCTTCACTCTGAACATGCATCTCACACAGCTTATTTGCATTTGTTGCACACAGCTGTGGACAGGATGTATTCAAATGCTTAGCTTGCAGGTGTCAGGCAGACACTGTCTGTGTTCCTTACACAGAATAGCTACAACGAATTTACTACAATGATCCAATCTTTTCATTACACTAACAACTAATTCTCTTTGTCTGGTTGTCTACTCAAGCCCATACCTCTGCCCACCAAAGGCAAAGCCATAACTAATATTTTCTGTGTTGTGTGTAAAACACTGTTGCAGGGGAGGACACTTGTCTTAGCTTTATGAATGGTAAACGTACTGATGTTACGTAAAGTTACCTGTTGGAGCACTGTCTAATATCCTCACGTCGTATGCTCCAGAACAACGGTAGTTAGCAGCCGTCCCATTATCCCAGACAACAACCACCTCCTCTGGACTTTCAAAACTCCTGACGGTGCCAACATGTCCTTCTCCGCCATCCTGCTTCCCCCACTTCCAGTCAGGTCCGCGGACCACTCTCGCTCCAACTCCTTCCATCATCGCTCGGTTATTCCTGCCGGTGGTCATTTACGAAAAGATCTCGCAATGCCACAGCGATTCCTACAGGTTAGCAAGCTATCAGTCGTTGCTTGCCAGCTATAAGTGCTCCGGTGGACAGTTTCCAAATGTAAGTGTAAGCAAGTCTAAGCAGAAAAAAGACTGGAACAATACACAAAGCTACCCTATTAGCTAAGTAAGCTATCTAAGAAGGCTGGTGGACCCTGTTCCAAAAACTATAACCTGAACTATAAGCCAATGCCTACCCCAGTATTGTCTCTGAGAGTAGGGAACTACCGTTAATTACCCTGAAAGCCTATAAAGTAGCCACATTTCTAGCTCAGGCAGATCTCAGTACTCAGCAAGCTTGCTGTCCCTCACCTCCACTCCACAGAATGCCAGCTCTTCAACTTAACAAGCTAGCTAGCGAGCCGATTTGCTAGCTACAGCAATGCTAACAAGATAAACATCCCCTGGCTATCCGGTTCTTCTCGTTAACATAAATGCAGTCCTTTTGGTAGTTGCTTATTGTTATTTTTGTTGAGTATGGTAGTGAAGATCCATGCAATATGTTCCCTTTGTCAGCCGGAGATGGGTCTCTGGAGTCAACTCAGAAACGCGTCGCCATTATTGTCAATCATCGTTCACACCTCAGACGAGCAACAGCTAGCCACGGAGGTAAACGACAAAGCACGAAGACGCGAGGCTTGGAAAACAAGCACAAGTCCTGCCCGTGGTGCGCATGCGCATCTGCGATGTATCGGCCCATTCTCATTTTGATGTTTGGATGGCACATCTAATATTTTCAACCTTTCAATTATGTACATACAGAAAGATATTTGTGAATTTTCTGTTAAATGGTTTTTACCAGGTGGTAACCCACTTCTAATAAATGGCATATTTTGTACTGACAAGTACAAACATGAGCATTAGACAATGAATGTTTTAGTCATAATATAATGTATAGTTAGTTGATTTTGTAGAACAAAAGGGAAAACATTTTAAATACTTTTGTATATTTTGTTTAAGTGTGGGAACATATTTAACAATAGGCATTTTATTTAACAGGGCTGTGTTGGGAGAAGGTGCTCAGGGAAAGACGACAGTTCTTTATAAAACATAAGGTTGCCTATAGTGCATATTTTGCTTATGTATTTATATAATTAGATACCCATACATTCATGCAAATATGACAATACTCAACAGACAAATTTAGGTGTGAACCATTCCAGTGAAGGAAGACATCCGGGCTCACGCTGGAACTCCAGCTGCGCAGGCTGCACATCACGTGTGTTGACTGCAGGGGGTGAGTGTCTGGCTCCGAGCAGCTCCAATGGTAAGCCGGTAGAACACCGGTCAAAGAGCGCCACCGCTCGCTGATGCGGCTACATGCACATTTCTCCTACATCAAGTCCCCTTGACTGTCTCCTTCATAGTGTACTCACAGGCTGAAACAGCTGAATTTCAGCCGAGCTGGCCGCTGTCTTTGCAGTACGGGGAAATCCAGAAAATAGGGACCTTGCAATGATCTCGCTGGACTTGAATTTCAACATTTTGACAAGGGACCTGTCGCATTATGTCGAAAATCAAGTGAAAGTTGGGCTGTTCGGTTCGGGAGTAGGACTGTCTCTGGTGCTGGGCTTTAGCGCAGCATACACCTGCTACTATCTGATTTCAGTAGCGAAGGTAAGTAACCTCAGGTTTATTACCTGAGTGGCTGCTATGGAGGGACTCGTTACACCGTATAGCTTGTATGAAACCCGGTGTGTGCTTTTCACGGAAGCGCACCATTACTGACATCTGAGTGATGAAAGTCGACCGGTGCATTTGCTGATGGAGGTTTCGATTAGGTCGTATCTGTCCACATCGGTGGGCTAACGTTAAACGCCTGCACATGTGGGAGAGACCCGCGGCTGCAAGACACATTTTAACCAGTATACATGCCTAAAATCAAAATTATCTCAATCTATGTATAGCACTTATATAAGTACTGTACATTAAATCAATCGGTAGCAGCACAGTTACGATTAGATGTCGGCATTAGCTCGGCTAAGCTATCATCACTATGCGTTAGCCGGTAGGTTTTATGTAATGCATGCTGAGTTGCCATCATTTATTTTATATTGGGGCTCGCATTGCTGATTTTATAATATAATACATCACTTGTTGAGTACACATGTATGCCTTTAAGATTATTAAAATATGAATAGAATAAGTGAAAAGTTAAAATAGCCTACTAAACGTTAATCTGACCGGGATGTGTTGCTAACGTTAATTACCAATGAGGCCAACATTGTCTCTAGTGTAATGGAAGCAAAGCAAAACAGGCAGCTGAAGGTGCAAAAGAAATGTAGAAAGCACCATACCATAACATGTGGAAGGCTCTTTATTTTGTATCTGTAATGCAAGGTTAATGCATGCCTGACGTTTATTATTATGTATTAGCGTAATAAAGGCTTAAAATGTAGGTTCAGATGTGCTGTGTTTAACTTGATTTGATTTGATTTGATTTATTCTTTCAAGCATGTAAAAACAGTTGATATGACAACACACATACACATGATCCAATATCAATGTGCTTATACCTAGTACATGCTTGAATGGAGTAGGAAGAAGTCAGACTTATCCAGTCCTACCCCATGACATCATCTTACCATCATTGGTTTGCAAGCAGTAAATGATTCTCTTCTACACACACAAACTTACTTATATACTGTACTTTGCACTCTGGTCCATAGGCTGTTCTCAGTAACAACCTTGTATAAAATTAGTTGCTTAAGTCTAAATAATTTTTACAACTGAAGTTTCATCTATATGTGTTTTGTATTTTGTTTTTAGAGTTTTAATATCTGCATCAGATTAGTTATAAAATATGATGTAACAAAACATGTTGTAGAGCTAATGATGCTTTACAGTAATAGATCTGTTTTAGTATTAAATAACAGCATATAAAATGATCCCTGAGGGTCAAAAGGAGGTCAATTTTTGTCCCAGACTTCATTTACGTGTATTTTGCAGAAGCCACAGCTCATCTCCGGGGGCAAGAAGTTCTATCAGTTTCTGAGGGAGCAATGTCCAATAGTATCCGAGACCTACTACCCGACCTTTTGGTGCTGGGAGAGCCGCATCCAGACTCTGCTGAGACCCTTTGTCACAGCCAAACCCGGGGTTGTTTACAGAAAGTAAGTCATCAGTGTGACTAACATACTAACCAAAAATCCCAAAGTGAAGATTTAGTTCTCCTCTCAAGCAGACACATTCATCTGGCACATATGCATTTGAACCTGGGAATACATTCAAAATATTTCCATGCCCACTCACTGTGCACAGCTTTATAAAGAAACATCTAAATCTAGCTTGGTTAATGAGAAACTGTCATTGTCTGTTTCCTGATTTCTTTCTTTCCTCTTGGAAACAAATCACCATCTTGTTCTTAGCCAAGACTCAAAAGCTCAGAATAGAAAGAGACCTTTTGTGCCACGATGCAGACTTGGGCCGCCCTGCCTGCTGCTTGAAAATGTACATTCTGTAGAAGATTAATTGGTATTGCATTCCTTGCCCCCTGCATATAAAGGAGATTAAAATGAATTCAGTGGCATAATAAGAAAGACTTATTTCTTATGATTACTATTTATTACATCTTTATACAATCTGATTTAGTTTGTTTTATGCATTCTGACATTCTCTAATGTCCACAGCCATGCCTTTTGGCTAGGTTTAGGTGTGTTTATATACACTGTAAGTTGTATTATATAGTGTAATCATATGTTGTTTGTCAGCCACATGTTTATGGTTGAATTGAAAGAAAAAAATCTCTGCTTTGTTCACCCTTAACATTAACAATAAACATTAGCCACAACCTTAACATAAAACATTTATTTAAAACCAATTAAAGCTAATGCTAGGCCTTACAGCAATAATATTGGCAGAGATCTGTTCTGGATCTGTTAATAGAGATTTTGATGTTTTCAAAAGTTGACACATTGGTTTGTTATAAATGGTTATGACTAACAATAATTTAATTCTTCAGTTGAATCATTAGTTCCATCATTTGTCTGTCCCAAGGACATTCACATTGCCTATGACTGTCTGCTGCTGTCCCATTCCTCAAGGAGATAAATATTCTCATAATGCACAGTAACTTTATCCAGCCTTAACTAACTCACTGTTATTACACGTGTTAAGACTAATGGTCACATTTGCTTAAATCATTATCACATTCCCTCTGGGGAAAGAGGACATCCCCATAATGAAGTTACCCAAGCCTGACCGAAGCAGCGTGCAGACTGTCCTGTTTGTCATTGGCCAGCTGGGTGAAATTTCACTCATCCCATTGTGCGAGCAGAGGATTAGAGGCATGTCCCCTCCCACTTTGTACTTTGGTCATTTTAGATTGGCCTTCCCTGACTTCAAACTCGAGCCTCAAGTGCATATTTCATGGCGGTTCTGTAATCTAATGCTGATGTCTTTACCACCGGTTGACCAAGTTAGCTCACAGGCTGCGGTTTGTGCTTGTATGAAGTGGGAATGAATGACCTCACCTGCCAGGCTAGGATTGTATAGCCCAGAAACGGATTGATCATAAGAAACCACTGGTGCAGTGTTCTTCTCATTCTAACTTGGTATGTGTTGCAAAGCACTCTGACAAGATGATCACAAGGGAAATGAGGTAGCTGTCAGTGAGCGTTCTACTCACATATCCTTTGGCAGTGTGCGTGCATACAGTGAAATAATCCACTGAAACCGAACAGAAACAACTAGTTGTGCAGAGAATGGATCCAGAGTATGTTAACAATGTTTAATGACCATGCAATGAGCATATTTAAAACCCTAAAATCTACTATAATATTAGTATGCGAGTGTATGCATGTGAAAATGAAATAAATAAATACACAAAGATAAAGTGCAGGATAATGTTCAGAAAGACCCATGTTGCTGAGTTGCATGTCCGGCTTGTCTCTGCAGTGAGCTTATTAAGGCAGCAGATGGAGGACAGATCTCTTTGGATTGGTTTGACAACGATGACAGCCCCTCTCATCCCGAGCCTGCCACCAGGCCCACAGTCCTCCTTCTCCCTGGTCTGACTGGCACCAGCCGAGAGTCTTATATCCTGCACATGGTCCAGCAGAGCCGGGACCTGGGCTATAGGTGGGTGCGCTTGGCTGGATACCCTGGCTGAGGTCCAGTGCTGAACACACATTCAGGGTGCTGAATTCCAACCCTGACAGTCTCTGTGCCTTATGTTTTAATTAGTCTGTCTTTTTTCTTTTTGTCCAAACAAAGCAAAATGCACCAACCAGTCATACCAACACTGATTAAAAGGTAAAACCAGGCATCTGGTTTTGTCGTGATGTTTTTTTTTTTAACCTTTATAGGTTAAAATTTAGGTAAACCCCTGACACTGAAGTGCACAAATGAAGTGGGCAGCTAAACTTTGTGTTAAGAGCTGCTTATGTAAATAGATAAACGTAGCACAGTCTTGAAGAGTTGCAGAGGAAGGCACTTTTCCCCTCTTTCTTCCCTCTATATTAGGCCCTTCCTGTGTTCCCTGCACTTATTCTTTCACCCAGATTTGGGAAGGCATGGGAAGAGAGTCAGCAGACTCAGCATCTTCCACCCCTCACCCCTGTCTGTGTAGCTTAATGAATTACAGCTTATTCTGGTACAAGCTTTCCAGTTTAGCCCGTACCAGCATTCGAGTCTATGCTGCAGTGTGTGTTTAAGCACCCCGCCGCCTCCCCTCTCCTCTTTTCCCAACACCCTATCCAGCCCCACCTTACTGCTGAGCTACATCTATATACGCAGCAGGCCCAGCTCCAACAGATCATTGATGACTGGTGAGCGATGTTGGGCAAGGAGGGAGGTGGTAGCCTTTGCTCTACAGTATAAACAGAATGCCAGTGACCCAGACTCATTGGACACCACTGGCAGCAGTGCACAGATATTAGCTTCTAAAAGGTTTTGGGTGGGACTGACCTCTCTAACCCATCAGAGATTTTCAAGTATTGTTGCATGCTCATTTCCTCTAATTTCATAAGGACAAATGTCTGAAGAGTTGGGCAGAGCATAGCTGGCCATAGTAGAGTAAAGAGGAGCAGGGAGAGGGAGTGCTAGGAGGAGCAGAGTGGAATGATTTGGAGTTTCATGCTAGCGCTACCTTACATTGCATAATGTAGCTTTAAATGATTCATTGATTGCCAGTATTATGTCGCAAATGTTGTCTTGACCAACCAGTTGATGAAACAAACTTATCTTTTCAGCTCTTCTTGAACTTGTTTCAATAAGAGCATAAACCCTTATAATGATTTGTAAGAGTGTATGCTTTGTGTATTTCAGATGTGTGGTATTCAACAACAGAGGAGTCTCTGGTGAAACACTACTGGTAAGAATCTACGCTTTCAACTTGCAATTCTTTCTTATTTCACTTAAATTCTATTCCTTTTTCACATTCAGAAACACAGATGTACATAGGATAAAAAGGACTGTGAAGGACAGATGGTTTTCCGGTTTATCAGCATGACAGCTTCCCGGTTGAATTGTCGTTTTCTTTGCTTCAGCCGGCACCGAGCGTGACTGTGACACCCGTGTCACAGAGCCCACAGGGAGCCTAAGCAGACACTGCACAGACAGTGTTGTTGCACAGCGGGGATTAAGATGCAGGCAGATTCTGTATTTTAATGCCGGTCCACCGAAATATGACCTCGCCGAGCATGTCCTTTTCTGACACCTGGCTTAATCTGTCCTCTTACACCCGGGTATATTTAGCCAACAAAATGGGCCTGACCTCTGCTAGCACTTAGCATGCCCACTGTTTTTTTTCCATGTCTCTCCTCAGTTTCTGTACATCTGCACTTCAAGAACAGAGGCACGGCTGTATCGCCCTGATCTATTCATACCATTACTACAGTTCATCCAGTGCACAATGGTATTTCATTGCAGGCAAGGATTTCTCACAATCAATCTAATGTTCCTCTTAGTAGGGATAAATGTGAATCATCTGTGTCCTGCTGGTGTTGTAGCTGCAAAAAAAAAAGAGCAAAGTGTCCAGTTTGATTGAAACATACTGTATATTCTACATTATAGTCAGAATGTAGTTGCCTCAGCTGTATTCAGATTAAAAAAACTAAAGTTTTGCCATGTGTCCTTGGCACTGTATTGTGTGGTGAGGTTAAGGAGAGAATTTTCTACCCTTATTCTATGCAAATGAATTTGTATTTGTATGCTCCTCTGAGTGTTTTCTCTGTGTCCAGTTAGTGTGAATATCCTCCACTGTTTAAATAGGCCAGCACTTTATAATGAGCCCATGTGTGAAAGACACCCCCTGCCTCAAAGTCTATCATCAGTGCCCTATTTCTAGATCTTGTAAAATGCCTATTCCATTACACTTTCCTGTGTAGTCTGCTCAGATATTTCTCTAACTACTGGTCCTTTATATTTACTTTAAAAAACATGCTCCTTTAAGTTAGAGCTGGGTTGTTTTCTAATGTTAAGTAACCTCTTCGCTTGAACAAAAAAAGGTTTTAAGTAGAAAGAGATTTTACTAGCTTTGCTTAAAAATGTAGAACAGCATTACTATCATAGTCAGAAATACCCGAATAGATATTAATAACACAGTGTTTGTCGACATAGAGTGTACAGTCGTACCTTTGCAACATTAGATAAAGATACCTTCTTAGCCTGCAAACACAGTTCTAATTTATTTTAGGTGAAGAAGGTTATAAAGTTGTGAACATAAATTTTGTAAACACCTTTACACATTTATAGATTGATTTAAACTTGTACTTTCCAAGTGATGGCTGAGAAGAGAAAAACACACCATAATAGTATAATAACTAATTGTTACAGATTCCCAAAACCTATTGTGACATCTTTACCTGACCAACAGTTGAAAGTCAGAAAACACTCAGTTTATTTGTAAGAGTAGTTACATAGCAGAGGATGGTTTTGATAATTCAACCTCTGGGTTACAGGCCCCTTGTTCTTCCGCTGCACCACACTGATACATATAGGGCTTAACCTCAATCCCTGGTTTAGAACGCCAGTGCCGTATCCACTGGGGTTGCTGTGGATGCTAGTGTTCAGAGGTAGGAGGTAAATTTCAGTTCACAGGGATGTCAGCTTTTTGCATGAAGTAAAATCAGGGGTCATGAAAGAGTTCAGTTTGTGCAGCCCACACTGCCATTTTGTTGTTTTTTCCAAGATAATACAATACAATATTCCAAGATAATACTTTTTTTTGCCACAGAAGACTAGGAAAAACATCAAATATTCTTATTTATGACACTAGAACCAGTGAATGTTTGGCTTTGTTTTCTTTAAAAATCGACTTAGATTAATCAGTTATTTATCATTATTAACAGTTACACATTCATTGTCTGCATTTCAACTAATTGATTAATCAGCTAATCATTTCATCTCCTGTTCAATTTTCCTTATATGTCATATGGATTCATTTTACTGCAAGAGCTTTTTGCATTAATACACTACAGCACCAGCAGATATCAATATCTGATCTTCCCTAAAGATGGAAAAGGTCATGACCTGAATGGTTGCTGCTGTTAGCTATAGGAGTTCTTCTCATTTGCGCACGTACCCATAGAATGGGAAAGTGCCTCCAAACCTTTGATAGATTGATCTGTGTAGATCATGAATCAGAAAGAAACGAGTGGCTGTATGTTCTTCCTGTCCCAATCAGACCCCGAGGACCTACTGTGCAGCCAACACAGAGGATTTGGAGACCGTTATCGAGCACATCCAGAAGACCAATGAAGCTGCTCCAGTCATGGCTGCTGGAGTATCCATGGGCGGGTAATGAAGCCACTCATCACCAGCGGACTAGACATCTCATACTGCTAACAAGTACTGTATGTATGAATGTGACTTAAATGTAAACAAGAAAACACCACAAATGCACTGCTGGCTCATTGGTAACTAAACCTGCACCTAAAAAGTAATACCCAGTCATCACATCAATTATTTACAGAGAGATCACTCACATTTATTACTGCAACTGTGTGATTGGTTAATATCAAGTGTATTCCCTTATTTACATTTGGAGCATCTTCTACAATCTCTCCCTATTCAGGATGATGCTGGCCAACTACTTGGGGCGCAAGGGCCAGGAAACCTGCCTGAAAGGTGTCATAGTCTTCTCAGCAGGCTGGGATGTATTTGAGTGCACCGCCTCACTGGAAAAACCCCTGGACCGTTTGCTCTTCAACTCCTACCTCACCAGCTGCCTACAAGCTTCTGTTCATAGGTGAGCCAGGGCCAGAGCAGGGTTACCACAGCCACTAACTCGCTGCCAGCAAGTGGGGGTTAATCGTTCAGAAGCTTGAATAACTGGGGCTTGCGTATTTAATTTAGATTTTTGATTTTGACAGTGCAAGGCAGAGATGCTCGACTGCTGCTGCATTTTCATTTGCCAGTAAAGAAAGCATATTTTAAAAGCCTGATAACATTTAATAAATATAATTCTCACAATACATTCCAATATGTATATTAACATGGGCATGGTGTAAATGCACCGTAATACTTTTGGAATACTGCTTTTCAGGTGAAGTTTAACTGTTGTCCTATTATGTTGTTACAACCTTGTTGACATTCTTGAGGGACATTATAGAGATGCAAATCATTTCAGCTAACTTCAGTGGGTGACCTTATTATTTTAATCTCCCCACCAGACACAGACCAGTGCTTGAAAAGTGTTATGACATTGATCATGTCATGAAGGTAGGCGGTTATTCTCAGTGACACTTGGCTGTAAATGCTCATGGAGTTAAATGAGATGGTCAGAAAATGTATTATATCACATGTTCCCTACAGGCAAGGACCATCAGAGAGTTTGATGAGAGGTTCACCTCTATAATGTTCGGTTATCCCACCAATGATGACTACTACCGTGATGCCAGCCCTGTTCACAAGCTGAAATCTGTCCAGGTGCCAATGCTGTGTCTGAATGCTGCTGATGATGTCTTCTCCCCTTCTCATGGTAAGTTCTAGCAACCTCGCCAGATTTTCTGCGACTTCTTTTGCTTTTTTTAAAATCTATTATTATAGAATATGGTGAAATAGATTGTATACTGTAGGATTACTGGTACTGCTAATATGGTGGCATGAAGAATGAGAATGTTGTCTATAGAGAAGAAAACAGGGCCTGACTCCTTTGTTGTCTTTACAGCCATTCCAGTGGAGGCAGTGAAACAGAACCCTAACTTGGCCCTGCTCATCACCTGCCACGGTGGCCATATTGGTTTCCTCGAGGGCCTGTGGCCTCGGCACAGCACTTATATGGACCGAGTTTTCAAGCAGTTTGCTAAGGCAGTCATCGAACAAGGCAGCCGACTCAACGACCTCTCCTGATAAGAGCCTCTCTTATTTATTTCTTCTTTCTTTTCTTCCTTCCTTTAATCCTTCATTTTTTCCATCCACCTTTCCTTACTGTATTTCATCCTTTATTCCTTCTTTTCAATCCTTGCCCTTCATCCCTCCTTAATGCATTCCGGCCATCCTTTTCCCCTCCCTCTCCGCCTGGTACAGTTCTTTTTCCCCTTCATTTCCCTGACTTTATTTTGTCTTTGACCTCCATCCTTCCGCCCCATTCTTCCTCCAGCCACAAGCAAAAAAAAAACGTCCTTCTCATTTGAAGGACACATCTTATTGAACGCAGTGTTTGTGTTGCATTCAACATTCATTTATTCCATACACAAGTCATTGTATGTGATCATGCTCTCAATGGTGTGCTTTTTAAAAAACAAACACAGTTGTTCATGTCACTGTTGAAATGCTGAATATGTGCCCATATTGCTTAGTTGAATTAGCTAGCAAAAAAAAAAATGTGATTACCTTGTGCAATCATTTTCTTTTGAAGTTAACAAGTACTGTACATGAAAATAGTCATCACTGTTCATGAAGCATTTAGTACTTATATCAGTAGGATTTTAGCCCTCAGGGATTTTCTTTATTTATTCATTTCCTGTCTGTGTAATTTTGTTTTGTCATCCTCCTTTAGTTTGTATTTTCATTATTTAAACGTTGATGTTATCGTTTACCACTTGGCATACGGTTGTTTGCTTCTGTAAAGTAATAGTTTGATGTTACAGGAAATATGCTTTTTTGTTTTCTTGCAGAGAGTTAGTTGAGAAGATTGACACTACTCTTACGCCAGTTTGTTAAATATGAAGCTATAGTCAGCTGTCCATTAGCTTAGCTTAGCATAAAAACTGAAAAGAGTGGGGAAAGGCTAGCTTTTCTCTGTCCAAAGGTTAAATAATAAAAAAAAAAATCTGAATACCAGAGGTAGTAGGTGGATTTTGTTTCCTTTGGATATGTCCATGCTAGCTGTTTCTCCCTGATTCTTTGTTTATTAATTTCATTCAGTGTATGAAATGATGTCCCAAAGGCTGAACAGAACAGTATATCAGTTCCATTAGGATTTTCTTTGCATGTGTGTGTGTGTTCTTGTACTTGATATATAGTGAGGACCAATAAAAACATTTTTTTTTGTTACAGTGTGAGGACATGTTGACTGGTCCTCACTTTCTGAAACAGCTTTTTGAGGGTTAAGACTTGGTTAAAGGCTTCAGGTTAGACTTAGGTTTAGTGTTAGGTATTAGGGGAAGGGTTAAGGTTAGGCATTTAGTTCTGATAGTTAAGGTAAGGGTAGGGGGCATGCATTATGTCAATGGGTGTCCTCACATGGGGCATGCATTATGTCAATGAGTGTCCTCACAAAGATAGAAGTGTGTGTGTGAGAGAGAGAGAGAGAATCATTGGTGGTTATTTCTGTAAAAAAGTCAGACAGTGCTGCACGCAGTCATGTGAATGAATTAATGCACACTTTGGCTGTCTGAAGTGGTGGTTGTTGCTTTATGAACTGCATCCTATCATTAATGGAATCTGATTGTCTTTTGTTGTTATTGTTGTTTTGTTTTGCAAGCAATGTTCAAGGGCCTGGCTACGGTGTCTGAGCTGGCATGGATGAAACAAGTAGATCTGACCGGTGGCCAGGCTTTCAGCAATGCACTGCATGAAGGATTTTGACTTCCTGTTCCTGTGGAATGTTGGTGTCTCTTTGTTCTGCCAAGTGTCCATTGAGTAGCAGGTGGCTCATCAGTGTCAAGTCCTGAACCTTAACATCATTTCTAATCTGTAGCACAAAGGACTTTTGTGTTTTCTCATAGGATGCTGCATTTCATTTTGTACACTAGATAAAAAGAAATAAAATAAGAATAATCATTCTGTTTAATATGTGCAGCAATAAGATTTTAAATTAAAGAAGTATCTCTATAGTACAGTACTAGTATATGCACATTACCAACATGAGTGTAATATGCTGTATTTAATAAATTACTAATCAGAGTCTAGGTCCATTTGTCTGCTGTCTCTACTGCATGTGCTTGTATAAGCAATTTGATTTTTTCTTTTTTTGTCTGTCTGCATCAATGGGGATTTACACCTATCACTACTGATAAACTGTATGGTTAGAAGGTCACATGATGTGTTCCTTTTGCACAGGGCCTCACCTTTAGCAACAGACTCGCTGCCTGAAGGCAAGACATTTTACTGTCTGCCATTGGAGCTGACTTACTGCATGACCAGCAGGTTACTGCAAAGTCACCCTCCCTCTCCTCTCACATCACAGTACAGGGTTTCGGTCCCTGGAATTGACTCACTTCACACTCACGGGCTTATCAACTGATAGGATATGCATTGCTCCAAAGGCAAACTTAATCCACCAGCACTCCACTTACCCCCCAGTAAGCCGACAGACAGATAAGCTTTGGTTTTAGCTTGATGGCTTATGGAACCCAGAGAGTAATTAGAGTAGACTGCCAAGAGGGATGAGCGATTTACTCATGGTTCCCATCAATAAAAATTATATTACAGGAATCCCTCTATTATGGATGTTGGTATCTCTGCTCATAATCATATAGTTATAGATCAGTAAGCCAAATGTGCTTTAATGTGTTATGATGAAATTGAAGATAATATTCCACAGGATCAGTGGTATGCCAGATTTCAAAAGTAGTTTAATATTAAATACTGCATTGCCTGAGGACTCAATAACTGAAAGAAATCAGTTAGTGGGAAATGTCAAGAGACTCTTTTCCTTTCTTTCTTCAAAGTATTCACTGAAGTGTTCACTCAAAGCGCATATCAAACAATGAAATAAATCAAATAAACTATCAATTAAAATTACAATATAATCAAAGAAAAATAACCAATTTGTGCATATGGTATTGTGCAGCTGTGATCATAAAACATTCAGTTAACCCTTTGCCTTCTCTATAAATACTGTAACTTTGTTACATATGAATCATTACGGGAGATCAAGATCTTTTAGAGACATGCCTCTTTTGGGATTTGAGCACAATATATCTTTCCCAAAAGAGCAATTAAGAGTTGCAAGAATCAGCATGGCAACCATTTTGTCCTCTCTCCCTTATCCTAGCTGAAAATAGCTTTGTGTTATATCACACGGGGGTTGTAGGTTGAAGTGTTCTCTAATATTACCTTGTAAGAGCTGAAATAGCATTGTCACAGGACCAACAATGCCCTTGTGCCATTAGAGTGAAGCCAGAGAAGAACCTAGCATCCATTATGGAGCAATGCCTGCTCTTGATAGTGATGGGGTCATTGTGCATGCTAACAGCATGGTTACAGAGGTGCTGGAGTGAGACAAATATCAGGGAGATTGTCCTTAGGAAATGAGCAAGGGTCTGGGTTATGCTCTTCAGCAGTACAGCCTAGGCTTGAATGCTGAGGTGATAGCGAGAGATTTATTAATGCCAGACTATAGACAGGGCTGCACATTAGTTTCAACAACACTACTCAAGATTTGAATTCATGCATTTGCAACACATTTTGAAAGACACAGCAGGTAGATGGGAAGCCTTGTAAAAAAATAAATAAAAACATTAAAAAGTGACATGTTTAATCATTAAAACAAATGGACAGCTTGAATGGTCTCTCCACTGATGTTACACATAAAGTTCAGTTTAGTAGTTACAAGGAGTACTACACAGCTTGTGCAAGAGGTTTTATAATGTCTTCTGTGGCTCTGGGGAGACCTTTTCAAAGAAATGAAAAAAGCCCTGATGACATCATCAGGGTTTTTTTAGTTTGGGGTTAAGTCCTAGTAAGCCTGTGTTACAAAAATGGGCAACCGGGAGGCAGTTCTAATGAATTGTGCAATCGCGTTGCATTATGGAAAATGTAAGATCAGGGGATGCCTCTACTAAATCAGTGGTGCACCCCTTTAACCACTCAACAAACCTGTAAGAGGCTCTGGGGCTATTTGTACACTCAGGTTTTCTGGAGTTGCACTTGACTAAAGCTTTTCTGGGAGTACATCATTCTAAACAACTGTACTGTATCTAGTGTTAGGGTTAGGGAAAAGATACCTGGCAAAATTTAGTTCCTGACAAAAACTCTATAGAAAGAGTTAGAATCAAAAGAAGGCCTCAGTTCAAAATTCTAAATTTATTTGGTAAATTTGGAAACCTTTAGATGCCTACTAGAAATTAAAATAAATGTATTTATGCACAGCCTGAGTTTGTATTGTCTGTAATGTGTTGTACTACTGTTGCATGTTTTGTTTTCAGATTTACCCATGAAAACCACAGAAAAAATATTGAGTTACATTCATAAACTTTATTACATTCATCAGTTGTCAACAACAATAGCATGGCTCTAATGTCGCATGCTGACAGCCCGCAACCACAACGGCAAACATGAGGTAGATCACCTAAACACCAAGGCCACAAGTGGGCTGCACATGGTTACCAAACGCATTTCAGTGGAGATTGCAAGAGCAGTTTGCATATTAAGTATTAAATTATCAAAAAAAAGAATGACACATTCAATGGACCATTGGAGTTTAACAATAAAGTATTAATCAGCAGTGTTATATTGACTAATTCTGGGGGTTTGGGGAACTTAATCGAATTGTTTTGCCTATATGGAAATGTTTTTTCTGCTGGCTACTTGTATAGTGCAAGTTCACATTTCCTGCCCCCACCGACATTCAGTAGATCTAATCATTTTTTGGGTCTTGTGCAAAACCTTCATAGATGGTTTTGAAGAGTACACATGCTCTTGGTTTAAGCAAGCTCAGCATGCAGTCAAATATTACACTTCAATATGATTATCAGTTCAAAATGCTTGTCAAATAAATAAGAATCCCTCATGGACCAAATTTTCATTTTCAATACAAATCCAACACAAGAACAGGAGGGGGTACAGACATACGGTTAAGGACACATCTAGGTAGATACTTCTTGTCTTTGCAACATAACATAAAATGCAGAAGACACTGTAACCAAAATATACCGGCAAACATTACACAAGACTAAAAAACAGCAGTAACCCTCAGTGGTTAAGGGGATGAAATAATATATTAATAAAGTAAACAAAGCTTTAAACAGTACAGTAGTCCAAAATCCAATTATTTCATCTTGCTTCACTCAGACAAACATTTCTTGCCCTCCCAATTAAATGGTTTCTTCATTCTCATTGGTCTGAAAAAGGCATCAGTTGAGCTGTGACTGTGTGAAATGTCCCCTAAGGAATATTCTTTGGATAACCCTGTGCAGAAACGTTCTGATTTCAAGTATATCAAGTGACCTGTTCTGCTGCTTTTGGCAGTTTGAACCATTTGCTTTAATTATCCTTTAAGATGGCAGATGATGAATTTAAGGTGTTAATGGTAGTTCAGATTATCAATATACAGTACAATCAGCCTCAGAACATGAACAAAACGACCAGAGGGGAAATCTAGGCACAGTCAGTAGCAGGATATTTGGCAGTGAAGTGGCTTGCTTGGCTTCATGTAATTATGCTTAAAATCTCTATTACCTAAGTCAGTAAATGCCTCAGTGTAAAATACATTAGACTATACTTCCATGTTGCATGCACATTAACAGACGCGTTGTAAAAATCAAACCCTGCAGCAAGTCATCTATCGTCTGGTTTGGAGAACATCAACTTCATATTCATGCCATCACAGAATAATAATGCCCAACATTCTTGAAAGGACATAACTGGTACTTTTCTTTAGTTGTGAATATATTCACATAAAAGTTATTTGGTGTCTATTATCAAACTCTGTCTACCACAACTTGATGTGAGAAGGATTATCTATGCCACATAAATATTTCACAGGCACGAGAGGAGTCCTCAATTGTAGTTAAATGTGCTAGCTCAAATAATTGGTTATTGTTTGAATCCCACTGGTGTTACAGTAGAATTTGACACTCTTGATGATAGAAATCCATTACAGACCATTGTCTATATTTATTATTCTTTAATAAAGTGAGCTGACTTTTTACAATTGCTGAGCTTCATGGAGTTTGAGAGGCAAAGCAGGTGAGAAGGGACCAGTAAAGAGAAAGGAAAATGCAAGGTGCAGCTCAGGATGTCTTTGGTGCCAACATAGGTTAATGCCAGAAATACATGATCAATAGGGAGACAAGCGTCACCTCTCCCTTAGATCTCTCTTAAAACCCTGAGATAAACATGTGTGTCCAGGATGGGACATACTGCCAAGTTCGTGTACACATAAAATCTTCAAATAGTCACATTACCGATCGCAGAGCGTCCATTTTTGCAAAATACAACAATAAAACAAAAGAAGTTCTGCTTCAGCTGTGCTTCTTCAGTAGAACACAAGCTCAAGTGGAGACAGCTACAAGCAAGGTTTGCATGCACTGACCCTCTTCAGAGCCAGGCATAGTGCACTGTAGTACAAATGAAGAAAAGCTACAGCAGCTTGCCATGTGTCTACTTGTGGGGTACCTCAGGTCTTCTACTTCAGTATATCCCACATTCCAGTGGGGTGGCAGGAATTATGATTACTGGCTGGTTTGGAATCAAATCTATCCTCATTTCTGATCGTGTTTCTGCAGCAGAGCGGTGGACCACAGCGGTTATAGTTTCAAACATGGCGGCCAGTCAGAAAGTAGAGGGGTCGATCTTCACTACAGTTAGCTGTCTGAAACTCGTCCCGCAGCCGGAACTGCCACTGGTCCTCTAGCTCCAGTCGAACAATAGTCTGACGGAGGGAACTTCGGTCCTGGCAGATCACACAAAGGGTGGCACCTGCAGGCATAGTCAGGGGCAAAACTTAGATGATACAGACTACATAGAAAACTAGAATACTAGTCCTGCTAGTCCTGTTCTTTCTTAAACCCACCAGGGCTTCGTCAGAGCTAACAACTTTAATTATAATACAGTAATAACAATGACACAGTCAGTGCTCTTTCAAAAGATATTTCATTATTTTGTGTTTTGATGATGGTGGTGGAGACGCTGTCTAACACGTTGGTCCAAAATCTCCCCTAGGTGTTCAACTGGGCTGAGATCTGGTGACTGTGAAGGCCATAGCATCTGATTCACATCATTTTCATCCTCATCAAACCACTCAGTGACCCCTCGTGCCCTATGGATGGGGACACTGTCATCCTGGAAGAGACCACTCATTTATTTAGGCTTTTCCTTGCTTGTCACTCGTCTGTATATCAAGGTATGATGTCAGTAGTTAAAGAATATGTTACTTTAATTACTATGATACTTTATGGGCAACGTCCTAAAACCCAATCAGATCATCTATTTTATGAAGTGCAGGTATGTGGTGTTCTGTGCATACTGTTTTATATCGTGCTATTTTTGAGGTCTTGTGATCACAAAAATGGGTCAATGCACAGAAAGACACAAGACCATATGCAGAGAAATCCCACAGTGACAAAACAGTGCCATGTAGCACATGTACCATTGTGGCATAATAGAATAACTAGAAGTCGACTACATGACAACAGAAACAGACAACATTAACTGTGACTACACTGATGGGTCACCTTTGAGGAACCGGAATTTCTTGAGGAGTCCAGAGACCACAAAGGAGTCACAGAGGTAAAGCAGTAGACCACTGAACACCAGGTCCTGATGGTTCAGGTTGGTGGAGTGTGGACGTGAGCTGATGTAACACACAGTAATCTATGACAAAAGACAACAAAAATATCAATTTAATAATCCCTGCATGGAGCTAATAACATCCTTACAAGCAAATCTATAGGTTGCATTGTGTGCAACTGTGCACCATGATTTATTTCCATTACAGGAAAAAACACAAACACAAGAAACATGTCTAGGTTAGCATATAATGACATTGTGCAGAGTGCACAGACTGTTATCACCTCATATGCACAAATGTACAATACAAATATGCTTTGTTAGCATTCGTTGTTTGCATATGTGCACGGATGCAGGTCAGAATGTTCTCAGCAAAACAGATGGTAAAATTGTGCAACACACTTCTGTTTATTTAGCCTTATATAAACATTTGAAATAAACCTATTCAGCAGGCCTTTCTTTTTTTGTAATAGTTAACAATTTTGTGAAACCCCTGAAACAGCAAGTGTTCAAATATATTTGATTATGCATGTCAGGGCCTACAACGAAAATGTTTGATTTGGTAGAATCCTTGATTAGGAAATTTTGAGATAAAGGCAGAAATATATGTATATTTTAAAATGTAGTACTCCTTATTCTAAGCCAGTGGTAACTACAGTATCGGGCAGCCTTTTCATTTTACAGCTATTACTTGGACAAAGGTACTTTTAGTGCTCGCTCAAGAAGTTGGATGTTAATGAGCCGACAGGTCCCGATAAGTTTGAACCTTATTGTTTTTTTAATTGACTGCCAATTTTATTGTACCGCCCTTAACATATATTTTTAATCTTTCATTATCAAAAAATGAAGGTCCACTGGTTTGAAAGTTTGTTTGAAAGTCTTTTCTATTACCATTATTACAATCTGGTGACCCAAGTCAGCTAATTATTGTATATCATAAGGCACTAAGATTCAATATAAACTGTGAGGTCCTAACTTGTCACTGCACTATGTATGCCTTAAGCTCTTGAAGATTTCTCCATTGGCATTACTTAATTTATAAAGCTATTCTTGGACTATTACCTGCAAAGTTGCAAGCAATTTACACTTTTTCTTAACAGAGCATCTTGTTATTACCTGGACCTAGTCTGAACAGACAGGTGAAACTGCGTTTATGTATACAGCTCCCTATACAATGAACTGTCTGCAAAATGAATTAAATTTACAGTCACTGGTTTCTCTGAGAAGATTTAAAGCTTTGCTGCAGGAAGCTAGTAGTTTCCAGAAGGTTTTAGTTCAAGGGATGATGCTAATAGTCTAGTCTTCTCTCCTGCTTTCAACTGTAGCCTCATGGGAGAGCTTACCTCCGGACCGACGTTGAGATAGCTGTCAATGGACAGAACTGGGTTGTCTCTGTTCTGAATAGCCATTGGAAATAGTCTGTGGCTGCAGCTCTGCAGAAATCTTTCGAACAGGAACTGGGCCGGGGCATCTAGGAGCATCTGCTCGCTGTCTGGGGCGCAAACATACTGGGACGGGCTGACTGAAGTAGGCTTTTCTATTTCCTGGGGAGAGAAGAAAGTGGTTTAGTATTATATGATGTTTCATGCTGCATGAAGACACAAGACAATAAAAGCCTACTGAAAATGGGCCTACACTGTGTGAACAAGACACCCACCACGAGTTTAGGCTTGACCAGGAAGTCTTTGTTTCCCCCAACTGGAATGTGTTTCTTCATCATGTTGAAGTAGTTGAAGCGACAGAGCAGCAGCCCACTGCTGTTCACCCTTAGGTTAAAGTCCACCTCCTCGCTGCTATACCTGCACATAGGAACAAAACAGCAATGTCAAATTTTAAAAATGTTGACGTTTTTGCTAAATGTGTTGCTGACACAATCCTCTGCTAACTTACCGATTAAGGTCATACTGAACATTCTGCGTCAGGTCCACATTGAGCATGACAAAGTCATGGAGGTGACACCGGCCGAAGGGGTGGCAGGGAGACTTGCGAGTCAGGCTGCTGCTCCATTTGCGAATACCGCACACTGCGTACAGGGTGATCTTGGGTGTGGTTTCCATATGCTGCAGCACCATCTTCAGAGACACGTTAGTGAGGGTTGAGCTTCCATCTAATGTGTCACTGAACGAGTAATGGGAGGACAGGGCAGCCAAACATAAGAAGGCATTTTTTAGTAAAACATAGTTTAAAAATGTTAATTTTACCCATTTATTAAATACTATCTGCACTTCTTTTATCAGGGGTATTTTAATATTACAATACATGCATATTAAACTAGAGGTAACTAGAGCTAAAAGTCAGTCGGAATGATAATTAATGTGAAAAATTAGAACACAAAAAGGTCAGCAGCTCATCTCTGCTAATTTTTCAAACAGCAAACAATTACTACCTGCTGTCCCCTGCCTGCTGGGTGTTCCACAGCACACAGGAATCATCCATCATGACAATGAAAGGCCATACATCCTGCCTTTTGACACCTTGCTCCTCCAATCTGTTTCTCTCCAGCTCCAGGTTGTGGTATGACAGCTCTTTGATCATGAAGCGTGCAGCACCTTAAACCGACAGGAGCACACACGCCAGTTGTTCATTTATGCGTTCTCCCAATGTTTATACCTACAGTGCTCTTTGATCAAAAACACAGTTCTGCTGGAGGCAATAAGCTATGCAAATCATATTTAAAAGCTGAGCATTAAATTTGCAAAGAGAGTGTATGCATTACAAATTTACAAGTGAATTCTTACAGTTGAGAAAATACTGTGAGTTCATGTTGTAAGGTACTATACATAAATGTTTGAATATACAGTATAAAGTGTATTTCCTGACCAGATATAGTGCATGTGGCCACAATGACACTGAGGATTACTGTAAAACAAAAATGGTTAATGGTCTTTAAACTCACTGATCCCTGTTATCGATCTGAGAAACATTTAGTTCAGTTACACCCACTTCAAACAGATCATGCACCTGATGGGCTATCTTACATACTGTATCTGCTGTATATGTTTCATACATGGTGGTGCTCTCCAGCTGGTTATGTAAGGCAAGATTTGACCTTTTATCCATTGTAAACAAACTGTAATCAATATATGATGAGTTTGGCTCACTCATTGTAATAAATCACTCATATCAGCAGGGAGATAAATTGCTCGGTGTTCTGGACTTAAAGGTACACTGGAGGCTTTAACCACTAATGGTGCTATGGGGCAAAGGTTTTAAGAGTGCACAAGAGGATGTAGGTGCATGCATGTTGGTGATGTGATACACTTTTCTGCCCCTGGCTTAGTTTTGTTCCGGTGATCGACAATTGGTGGAGGTCAGAAAAATGAATTACAGTTGAGATATCTCAGTCAAACTGCTCACCAACTCCAGCGTTATTGAACATAGCTGGCAGGACAAGCAAGATGTGGTTGGGCCAGTACTTCCTGTAGAGGGGCATCTCTAATTGCTTAACCACCAAGATGTGCAGATGAGCGGCGCCATCCATGGCATGGAAAATGTTAAACAGACCGTGTTCTTGGCGTCCTGTGGTCGGGGTGAAGATCGGGCTCTTTAACACGTCAGGGTCCTAGAGACAGCCACAGAAAAAGAGAAAGAAAAGTAAAGTTTTGACTCAGCTAATATTAAGAATGATTCAAAGGAGGCATTTTTAATAGATGTCTCAGTTTTGAATTTTAGCATGGAGAGATGAAGACGCTCACCCTCTGTTGTGATATATATAGCTACATACTCACTAAAACACCTGTGTGCTTATTCATATATTCAGAGAATGATAAACTAACCTTAGTGGAGACCAGAGGCAGGCGCATGCTCTCCAGGTGGTTGCCCTGCTGACTGAAGACAAAGTGCTGCTCCTTAGCTTTGGGAATGACAAAGTGGAGCTGGACCTCCTCCCCCAGCATGGACGAGCAGAATGTGAATGCATGGAAGGTGCATTCCGGCAGCTACAACACACACATGCACTAATAGTGAGTAGTGATATCCTAACCTGTCAAAGTATTTTATGTAACTGTACATCTGCAGTATAGCAGCTGTTGAACTGAGAGAGATGTTTGATGACAGTCTGTATGTTGCACTCACCTGTGTGGCCGGCCCTGACTCACAGTAGTGATGACACTGCTCACAGTGATGAAAGGCATTGTGGGCGGCAAACCTACTCAGACATATTGATTTGGTCTTTCGTTTGGCTGGTGTTTGGATCTCTTCTTCGTGCTTAAAATCTTCAAATACAACTATGAAAATCAAACATATGCATTAATGCCCAGTTGTTTGTATCTACAATGGCAGTTTACAATATTTAACTAAGAGACCCACTGTTGAGTGTTTGCATGTTTCTGCTGACCTTTTAAGCACTTTGGCATCTTGTCAGAGTAAACGGGGCTGGCCTTCTTGAACTTAGGGTCTCGGGGGTAGGGGTCAAAGGGCATCTTTCGAATTTCCTCAACATCAGGCCACTGAGTATTTACTGGAGTTGTAACCTCCGATGTTTCTGAAAGTGAGTCATGAAAAGGACAATCTGACGTTAGTTTTCTTTATATATCTGATGTATTTAACACCACAATAAGTCAAAATAAATGAAACAGGGAGTGCCAGTGATTCTCACCTTCCTCCTCCTCCTCTTCCTCATCATACACATCTACCTCCAACAGTCTGATGAGCATCCGAAACAGAATACGAAGAAACTGCAGGTAGGCACCAGTTTTCCCCACCTAGCAAATAACAAAAAAGTCATCTCTGTAATACTGCCAATTTTCTTTTTGCATTTTCAGCAGAAAAAAAAAGTTTTATCTAAAATAAGCGCATATTGATCAGTTTATTCATTCAGTTTTTATTTATTTATTTAAAGTTTTTTGATTAGCTCATATCCTTTATGTGGGAGTGAGCTGATATTCTGTACAAAATGTATATATATTTCAGGTTTCATATTTCAATCAGTTACAAGATGTACTTAAAGGGGAAGTAGTACTTGTGTTTTGTTACCTGTGGGGGTCCACTGAGTAACAAACGCCGAGGATGTGGCACAGGTGGCGCTTCATAATCGGCGTGATGCTGCCTGGCGATGGTCCACTGGCGGTAGTACATGCTCTGCTCTACCTCCTGCAGGTGGTGAGTGATAAGGGGCCTCAGCGGGCTGCTCCAGGCCACATCTGCATGTGGCAGTAGGGAGAAGGAGCTCAGCTGGCTCCCAGACTCCCCTGCCAGCAGACTGTACGCCGCTCGGGACATGATGACTGTCCGCGGTGACACTCGAGCGGGCTGGGAGTCACGACTATACTGTGTGGACTGGCTGGGCCTCTGGGTGGAGGAGGAAGATGGGGAGGGGGAGGAAGAGGAGGACCTGGAGTAGAGGGAAGGAGGAGTCTTGGATGCTTTGGAGGAGTTGGAGGAGAGCTGGCCTCCCAGGGAATCGCACTCCTGCTTGAATCCTTGTGTTACTGTCCCCATGTCCAACATGACGACGCCGTCAGGTGGGCAGGTGGAGGTGGAGGGCTTCTGGAAAAGGTCTGCAATGTCAGATGAACTGACACCATTCTCTGCCAAAGAACCTGAGTAAAATGAGAAAAACAGATAAATAAACTGTGTTGTAAAACCCTCCAGTATGTGTTCCCATGAATATAATGTAAAATGAAGTATACAGAGTCATTGAGGTTAACTTCTTGCCAAGTGGTGGATTTGGATATTTAATCCTATGATCCAGGATCTAGAGACTCACCAGAGGTTTTGGTTGTAGCACTGCCATTGCTCTGGGGTCTTTCCAGCTCATCTCCATCATTCAAGCTTGTGGTGGCCTTATCTCCATCTGATTCCAGAGGGGCCATGGCCCTCTGTGGCTCCTGGACCACATCCCTGGACACATAGGTGCAGGCCAGACCCACCTCCTGCTCCAGGGCTGTACGGGTCAGGTAGCTGGAGTCTATCAGACGCAGGTCACTGTATTTCAGAGATCTAGAAGAGCACAAGTTGAAAGAAGAGTGCTGCTGAAAAATGTATCACAGATCTTTAATTTTAACAATGCATTTTGAGCCCAAATATACTTATTTGTAAGCTGTTGACAATTGGATTGCCCAAAATCACGATTAAATCATTTTGTTTAGAGAAAGCGCTATAAATTTACTACTACAAATTTACTGAGTCTGATGTAACAAATACACAATTTTTATTTATTTATTTACAATATTTATTTATTTTATGGACAATGATACACCGGTCAACAGATTTGAGGATGTAGTTGAGAAGTTTAATAGGTTTTTTGTGAATGTGGGTCCTGGCTTAGCAAGTACCATTTGTACAAATGTCAATATAAATAACAATACTATTGAAAGGAATATGTGTTCTATGTTTCTTAAGCCAATTGTTGAAAAGGAAATTATAGATATAGTGAACAAATGTGGTAATAAATCATCCAGTGATATGATGGTATCAGTGTGACAATGGTTAAATGGGCAATCGAGGGGATATGCAAACCATTAACCCATATTTTTAACATGTCGTTTCGACTTGGTCAGTTCCCCATTAATATGAAAAGAGCAAAGGTTATTCCACTGTATAAACAACTTCACAAATTATAGACCAGTTTCTCTGTTGTCACAGTTTTCAAAAATCTTGGAAAAACTCTTTAATAACAGATTAGACACATTTATTGATAGACATAAAATCCTCTCTGATTGCCAGTATGGTTTTAGGTCGAACCGATCGACATCTCTGGCCATTACTGACCTAATGGAGGACATAACAAGTGCTATGGATGAGAGGAAATACACGATGGGAATATTTATTGACCTAAAAAAAGCATTTGACACAATCAATCATGAGTTATTAATGGATAAGTTAGAAAAATATGGGATCAGAGGATTGGTTTTGAATTGGATTAAAAGTTATTTGACACAGAGGCGTCAATTTGTGAAGTTGGGTGAATACCAATCGAGTGAGCTGGACATTGTATGTGGAGTGCCTCAGGGTTCTGTTTTGGGACCTAAATTATTTATACTATACATTAATGATATATGCAAGGTTTCTGATT